AAACCAAAAAAAATATATTTGCATTTATTCGTCAAGCAGATTTCTTCGTATATCCCAGATGATAACTTATTATTCGCTGTACAGCCATGGCATTCAACCAAATTGATTAACAAATCTTTTATTGTGTCAATCGTGTGTCTTGGTCAATTTTGGACTTCACCAGAGCACTGCAGCGCTCATCAGTGAAAGATTTGGATCCTCTACATGAAAAAATTTCTGGTCTGGAATCTTCGGGACCCCCAGAAAAACAATGCAGTCGTTCCATATGCAATTTAGCATTCACTTCATTTTTTTATCGGATGTAAACTACGAAGAAACCCGAAGAGAATCACATGGCGAATTTCTGTTTGCGTTCGTGGTGGAATTCTGTCTGACCTATCCTCAGCTATTTTGCGTTTTCTCGTCTCCATTTTAGTCTATCATTCTGAAATTTGAAAGGAGGACTAGTAAAATAATTACAAAGGATTTTTTATTTTTAGAACTAACTGCACGAACTTTTGGCTAGTAAAAATTAATCCATTAATTTTGCGATTCTCGGTTTGTATCAAATATGCATCGTTTTGCTCGACAACTTTTTCTCTCTTTGAAGATAATGCCATTACATCTCCCTCGAAAAAATTGAGACAATCGATTTTCACAGGCTTCGTTCCTATTCGCAATTCTTCACCAGCCAAATCATTTTTGCCATAGACAATCATGGATGGCAATCGTTTGTTGCTAGTCTTAGACTATAATATGGATGCATAAGAAACTCCTAACCGATCTTTCTGAGCCATTGGCCAGTCACTAGCGACATGCATGGTCTGGCGTTGTCCTGTTATAACTCAGTACCTCTCCAGTTGGCCAAAGCTGGGGCTTTTGAGTGATTGCTTGCTTCCGATGTTGCAATTTCTGGCAGTACAGCTCCGAAATACTAGTTCCGACGTAGATTTACCTCCAGAGATTTAGTTGTGTGTTCACTCTTCCGGAAAGCTCGAAGAAGATACCAAAACTTGAAAAATATAATATCCCTAGAGCAAATAATGATGTGGCTAAAAGTGGTGTGGAGGAGGAGACTTTGGTTGGAAACCATACTTCTGGAAACGGCTTGTTTGACGGCAGTAGACTTGAACTTAAGTACAATATGAGGTAATAAAAAAAAGATCAACTATATGGTCACCTTCATCAATCGATGGTAGGAGATCATCGCAATACACTATAGCTTACAAAATACAATATAAATTTATGCAGTTCCGTCGCTCAGCGACTACATTTCGACTGTTCGAAAAATATTTTCATAATTATTTCAGCATTTTTCAGGCAATATAAATGTTGTTGAACCATAAAATAGTAAAAGGAGATGGAATAGATTCTGCTTTAAGATCCTACTTAATCCGGTTGGGCTTTGGTTAAGTCTCAAGTTGAGATGCATTTGAGAAACGACTTTTTCTCAAACCTCAAACACTAGTTCTCAAATATTTCTCAATTGCTATTTAAAAGAGTTCCGAACCTTGTTTTTTTAGCATAATACTTAATCTATTTTGAAAATAATTAAAAAAAATTTTCAACTCATTCTCACATTGAAAACTAATATTTTTTATTTTATTACCAAACAAAAAGTTAGAAATTATACTATGATACATTATATTTTTTTTTTTCAGAGAGAATGAACATAAAGAAGATAAAAAACTTATATATTTTCTGTACGACAATCATAAGTGTACTCAAATGTAATTTAATAAACAATTTCAGCAAAAGCACATGAAGAGTTATAAGGCTAAAATTCCACTTTATAAACAAATATATTAATAAAAGCAATAAATTATGCCGAATGTCATAAATTTAGAAATGCGTTGTGTACAATAATTGCTGGAATCCACTCGCTACTCGTGATGTGAAAATAAATTTCATTCAGATTCAAGAGCTCATTTTGGAAACTTTTGCATTAGTACTAACATATGTACATACATATGTGCAATTGGACAAATCCTTCCTTTCTTGGCGGTCATAAAGGAATTGCCTTACATAATTAATCCATTATACATTATAATAAATGTTGAGAAGAAACTTTTATACGAGTATGCTATTATTGAGCATGACTAATTTGAAGTATATATATATATATATATATATATATGGAAGAGTAACATTCTACTGCGAAAGCACTCCGCAGTTTGGTACCAGCTTTTACGCACGTGTTATCCATCTCTCCTTTGGAGCTAAAATTAGGACGTGGTTTTCTATGCCATGTGGAAATAAGGAGCTTGAGTTATTATTAGCAGTAGCAGGTTTTTGTACAAGTTAAGGTTTAAGTCAGTGTTAAGTTCAGGATTAAGTTTAAGTTTTTTTCAGGTTTAAGTTTGAATTTAATTTTAATTTTATGCTTAAGTTTTATTTTAAACTGATGTTCATGTTAGGTTAACAATAAATTAGAGTTTGTTTAAGTTTACGTTTAAGCTTACGTTAAGGTTGATGTTAAGTTTAAATTTAAGGCTGCATTTACGTTTAAGGCGAAGTTGAAGCTCAAGTTTATGTAAGTCTACCTTATATTTAAGTTTGAGTTTCAGAGTAAGATAAATTTGTGTTTATGTTTAAATTTAAAGTTAAGTTTATGCTTAAGTTGAAGTTAAATTCAAGTTCAAACTTAAGATTAAGTAAATTGACGTTAAATTTAAGTTAATGTTTAAGGTTATGTTTAAGTTAAGACTAAAATTAAAGTTCAAGATCAAGTTAAAGAAAGTTTAAGTTTAAGTTTACGTTGAGTTCAAGTTTATGTTTAAGGTTAAGTTGAAGTTTAAGTTTATGTTTATGGTTAAGTTGAAGTTTAAGTTTATGTTTACGTCTAAGTTCCATTTTATGTAAGTCTACCTTATATTTGAGTTTGAGTTTTAGAGCAAGTTCATTTTCAAACTCAATTCAAATTTTAAGTAGATTTACGATATATTTTGTTTTTATGTTTAAGTTTAACTTTAAGTTCATGCTTAAGTTAAAGTTAAAATTCAAGTTCAAACTCAAGTTTAAGTAAATTTACGTTAAATTTAAGTTAATACTTAAGGTTATGTTTAAGCTTACGTATGTTTTTAAGTTTAAGTTTAAGTTTCTGATTAAGTTAAATGTGAAATTCTAGTTCAAGCTCAATAATAAGTAAGTGTTTAAGGCTTTGTTTAAGCTTTTGTATATTTTGTGTTTATGTTTGAAGTGAAGTTCAAATTTAAGTTTAAGCTCAATACTAAGGAAGTTTAAGTTTAAGTTTACGTTGAGTTCAGGTTTATGTTTATGTTTAAGCTTACGTTTAAATTTAATTTTAAGTCTACGGTAAGTTTAAGTTTAAGTTAAATTACGTATACTTTATGTATATGTTGGAGTTGAAGTTCAAATTTAAGTTCAATCTCAATACTAAGTAAGTTTAAGTTTAAGTTTACGTTGAGTTTAAGTTTAAGTTTACGTTGAATTCAAGTTTAAGCTTACGTTGAGTTCAAGTTTATGTTTATGTTTAAGCTTACGTTTAAGTTTAATTTTAAGTCTACGGTAAGTTTAGGTTTGAGTTTAAGTTAAGTTTAAGTTTAAGTTTAAGGTTAAGTTTAAGTTTAAGTTTAAGTTTGAATTTAAGTTTAAGTTTAAGTTTAACTTTAAGTTTAAGTTTTAGTTTAAGTTAAGTTTAAGTTCAAGTTGAAGTCAAGTCTAAGCTTAAGTGTATGTTTAAGTTGACGCAAAATTAAAGTATAAATTTGACTTTACGTTTCCTTTACGGCATATTATTCTTCATAAAACGGAACAAAAATTCGCATAACAGATTTATCAGTATGCTTATGTGAAGAAGAACATACGATACATGCTCTCAATCTTGCCTACATTTATGTATATACATATGCATATACACATATGGCTTGTGTGAATGTATTCGTTCAGTTTGTTTTATACATTATCCTTTGATACACATTCACTGTCTCGAAAGTGTTAAACAAACTTGTGGGAAACTTTCTTAAAGGCATCAACTTTATTTGCTTGGCAAAACGTGCGTTTCAACTCACGAAATACGCAAATATCTTTGTACATATATGAGCTTATTAGGTATAGAAACATGTATACAAGTATGTTGAGAAAGTCTTCTATGTGAATCTGCACATTAGCATGAGTGCTTGTATTCGTTTCCACAAATTCGATAAACTCAAATGTGTAGTCACTGTCATTTGCCACTCGTAGCAGGTACTCTCCATACAAATGTCAGCCCTATAACAGGCATGTAAATAGAGAAACATACAGAATGATTTTACAAACTTATTTTGTGTTTTTTATTTTTATTTTCGCTTTATTTTCATTCCTACTGTGTTTTGCGCGGGTCAATTGATAAGATGAACTTTGACCTTTTTTTGACTGCAGCAGTGCCCTTGTGTTATTTGGATATTTTGTTTTTTTTTGCATATGCGAAAACATATTCGCTTATCTGTTGAATATGCACGCGAGTTGTACATAAGTGTGTGTACGTGTACATATGAATGTGCATGATTTCGCATGCGTGTATTCATATGCGCGGTTAAAGCAATTGTTGTCGTTATGCAGTTACACGTGCACATAATAGAGTAACAAACAGAATTTAATTAACACACTCGAAATTTTTTTTTTTTTTCAATTTTCCCTCGCACCTGTGAGTCGAGGTTTTGGCGCTCGAAATGCTTTTTTATTTGCTTCCCTTTGAATTGTTTTATTTAAATATTTAAGTGATTTCAAGGGTGGTGCTTGTGATTTTTTAGAGGGTTAAAAACAAGGTGTTTCACATGATATAAGGAATAAAACTATTTCTAAAATACAATGTAAATTCAGGGGTAGAGCTGAATCATATTATTTTCTTGTAATAGGAATCTTCTTATATAGTAATTTCGAAAATTTGTGTCCAATTTAAGATGGAAGTTTAAGAGATTATCGTACGCAGAAAATTAGACTTTTGTGTATTTATGAATTAAAATATTTTATTGAAAACAATAAGCCAGTAAATTTGCAAATACTAAAGAGTTGAATCTTACCCTTTTAACTGTTTGATGATGCTCCGGTGTAAGTTGTCGCAGAGTTCTGAAAAAAAATTTAATTAATATTAAAAATTAATTAATAAATTAACCCTTAATTAAGCTATTAATTTCAGAAATATTTTCGACGCGCTTAAGCTTAAACAGTTTAGTTGCCAGTGTTTCCAATTTATTGTAATTTTCAGTTATAATATATAATGAAGAATAATAATAATATATTAAATATTACAAATAAATTTTTTTATTTTATTTAATTTTTTATATTTTATTTTATTTCAATTTATTTTATTTTATTATTTTTTTTAGTTTATTAAATTTCTTTCTCTTGATTTAATTTTTTTTCATATTGTCTTATATTATTTTAAGTTTCATAATAATTTCTTTTACTTATAATAATTGATTTAATTAATTTTATTTTTAAATTTTTTCACTTCATTTTATTCTTTTATTTTTTGTTTAATTTTATTTTAGTTATTTTATTTTATTTTTATTTTTTTTTTTTAATTAATCCTATATTTTATTTTTTTTATTTTACTATTTTACATTATGTTTTGCTTAATTTTTTGCATTGAATTTTCTTTTATTTAATTTTATAGGTTATCGTATTTCATTTTGATTTGTTTTACTTCACTTTACAGTTTACATTTTGTATTGTTTATTTATTTTAATAATATTTAATTTTATTTTGCTTTATATTATCATATTTTATTTTAGTTTACATTATTTCGTCTTACTTTTAAGTTTTATTTAATTGGTTTATTTTTTAGTTTATTTTATTTTTTTATTTCATATTTTATCTCATAATATTTTATTCGACATTATTTGATTTTACCTAATTTTGTTCTATTTTTATTTATTTTTTATGTTCCATTTAATTTAATTTAATATTTATTTTTATTTATTTTAAACAGTTTTATTTGGATATGTTTCGTTGATTTATTTATTTATATTTTAATTAGCTTATATAATTTAATTCAATTTTTTTTTATATATTATTTTATTTCCCTTTTCGTGTCATTCATTTTATATTTATTTATCTAATTTTATTTTATTTTATTTAATATTCTTTGGTATATCATTTTATTGCATTTTTTAATTTTTTCAACTTAATTAATAATTAAGTTAATATGATTTTATTTAATTTTGTTTCATTTTATATTATTTACAATTTTTCTATTAGATTTATTATTTATATTATTTTATTTTATTTCACGTTTATTTCAGCATTTTATTTTTTCATAAATTTTTATTTATTTGACGTTATGAGTATTCAATTTAATTTTGTTATTTTTTACTTCATTTGAATTAAGTTAATTTATTTTCTAAATATTATATAATATATACCATATAAATAAGCATAGGCCACAATGAGAACTTTTTTTCTGCTATAAATTCTATAAAACAACATACATCACTTAATACCAACGTTCTTCCGCACTTATTTCAGTACCCTTGGCAAAAGCAATCAAGCAAATGCATTATGAAAATATTATGAATCGAGATATTCGCACAGACCACCAAGTATGTTTAGTACACCCATATCCACAGTGCGTATACGTAACATTTTTTTAAAGGTCAGACTATTGTGCTTATTTAGTCACACATGTATGTAGGAAATACGAAGGTATGAATTCACAGAATGTTATGTATATAGACAATCACATTCAGTACATACATATGTATGTATGTAGTCAGTAGGAGAGCAACGGTGTAGAAGCGGAAAATGTTTCAATGAGGAAAATAAAATTATGAAACATATGTACCCACATGCATACAGGCATAGCATTGTGTGTATTTGACATGCATAAATTTACCGTTACGTGCGTTTGTATGTTCACAAACGTGTTCATTTCCGTGAACCCTTTAGCAAAATTCACAATCACAAAGCAAATGTCGGTGGCACAATGTGGTTGGCTATGTGCAGCTGCAAACATACACACATACACAAGTACATGTTCATTTATGTTACTTTAAACAATATATTATGGAATGTGAGGTATTCGCTGCATTAAGAGGCGTTGAAAACTATTTTACTTTGTGTGGAAATTCCTATTTTGTGGCGGTACACGTTATATTAAATAAATGTGTAATAAACCTTTGAACGCAAAAGTTCAGTACAATGACGCACTAGTGTGTTTTTATATTTTTGTTACACCGTAAGTTAATTTTTATTTTTAATAAATTGATTTTATTTTTCAAAAATAATTTTTGAGCGCTATTTAGTTTATAAATATGTATTTTTTGCCATTGATTTAAAATAAGAATTTTCGTGTTAGTTCTTTCAGAGGTAGAAATAATGGTGCACATTGAGAATGCCCAAAGTGTTTTGTATAAAGTTACTTTTCAATCTTTCCTTCACTTATGATTGAAAAATTTATAAAAAAATATTTTGTTGAACCTTTTCTGCCTTTGAAGCTTTAGTGCAAGGAAATATTTTGTATTCAAATTAATTTGTAAAAAATTTAAAAAAAATTATAAAAAATATATATAATAAATTATAATAAATTTAAATATATATATAAAAATATATATATATAAATATATATATAAAAGTTGAAAATACAAAATAAATTTCAGCAAAAGTTGCAAAAAAAAATTAAGGAATTGATTTCCAAGCACTTTGTGATATACTGATATGCTAAATGAAAGCTACATCAGATTGTAAAAATGAGGTTATGTTCAAAGTTTTTATTGCTCAAGTTTTTAGAAACATTTTACAATAACATTTTACCCGACGGCATACCCGCCGAAGTACTGATTGCCCGAAAACGACCTGCTAGTCGCATTGGACGTTCGAAATGCATACAACAGTGTACATTGGAAGAATATGATCGAAGCCATAGAGAATAAATTCGCCATCCCTATTTGTTTTAGCCTAATGATAAGGAGCTACCTAAGAGAAAGACCCTGTACTCTACAAGACTACCGACGGACAGCGAAAAAACAATGTGATGGCAGGAGCAGCGCTATGATGGGATATTAGACCTTGAGATGCCCGACAGCGCATATCTCGTGGGATATGCTGACGACATTCCCACTATAATACCCTACGGGATACGGAAGATGCACGCAGAAAGTTGAATCAATTAGTGAAAAGAACAAAAATGTGGCTTGACCGACGCGGTCTCAAACTCGCAACAGAAAAATCCGTTGTGCTGCTATTATCGATTGAACATATATCTCTGGAAATAGACATGCACACAATATGTATACACTGAGGTCAAGAAGAGTTGATAACTATCTGGGTATAAGACTAGACCCTAAATTGAGCTACTGGGCACAAATCCAGCATGCCGCAGCCAAGGCCTCCAAAGTCACTCCTCAGCTTAGTAGACTAATGGCTAACAAAGGAAGTTTAACTCAAGATAAAAGGAAGCCTTTAAAAGCGGCAACCCTTAACATCTTACTGTATGGAGCCGAACGATGGGCGGACTCACTTAAGCAGAATAATAGGCGAATGGTACTGGCCAAAGTATACCGCACAGTATCTGCTGTAATATGCGGAAGCATTCCCATCCACCTATTGACAGCCGAAAAGAAAGGAAGGTGGACGCTCAAAAAATTTAGGAACCACGGATGCACTGTCAATACAAACAGAGAGGACATAAGGACAGAAACCCTCAACCAATGGAAAACCCGATGGGAAGAAGGAAGTTGTGGCCGCTGGACACCCACATTAATAGCAGACGTCAGAATATGGACAACTAAGAAATTCGGGGAAGTAGACTACTACATTTTCCCAATTACGACGGTTCCCTAGAGGAGAGTTTTTTATGACCTGCAAGTGGCACATACCATTGATGTGATGATACAATAACGATGCAGAAGGCATTTTACTTCTCCTCACCCGCCAAAAACTTATTGATTTATATCCTTGCTTCGTTTTTTATGTGAGTTATATTAAACTATCTTTACAATCTTCACTAGTAAGCTGTGTAGCTTGTTATTTCATTCTAAGAAGATCTCGATTTTTTCGCAAAAAAGTATAAGGAAAACATTTGTTTGGTTACGTATACGCCGTGTCGCACCTATAAAATTCACCTCCAAAATAAATTCTTCAAGTGAAAATGACATATAAATTAAAAAAAAAATCAATTAGTTATGCGATGGGTACCCCTAAGATTTATATGTTAAAATTTTAGCATGAAAGACATTGAAAAAATTTTATTTATATTGGATGAGTGCAAAAGTTCATGACCGATTCCGCTGGATGCCGTTCGAATCGTTTGAGAGTGGCGCTCGTGAAAGAAATATATACATGTTATATATCGTTGGAAAGGTGACAGTCCGAACTGTAAATCAAGCATAAAATAACTTCATTTTGATTTGAGTTGCTTAGTGAAAAGACGCATGGAAGATGGACAACGAAAAAGATCATATGCGTCATATTATGTTATACGAATTCCGCAAAGGAAAAACAGTAGGCGCTGCAACTAAAGATATTCGCGAAGTTTATTTGGACCGTGCTCCAGCACTCCGCACAGTAAAGAAATGGTTCGCGAAATTTCGTTCTGGAGATTTTAACCTCGAAGATCAACCTCGCAGTGGACGGCCTTCTGAGCTTGATGACGATGTTCTAAGGACTTTAGTTGCGAATAACTCACGTATTTCGACGGAAGAGGTTGCCAGTGAATTGAACGTCAACAAATCAACTGCGTTTCGTCGTTTAAAAAAGGTTGGGTACACTTTGAAGCTCGATACATGGGTGCCACATCAGTTGAGTGAAAAAAACAAAGTGGACCGTATGTCAACAGCAATTTCTTTGCTTCGACGGATCAAAAACGAACCTTTTTTGGATCGGCTCGTGACTGGTGATGAAAAATGGATCCTGTACAACAATGTTCAACGCAAAAGAACATGGAAACAGGCACACGAAGGGGCGGAACCGATGTCGAAAGGTGGATTGCATCCGATGAAGGTACTGCTGTGCATTTGGTGGGATATCCGAGGCGTGATCTATTTTGAGCTCTTGCCAGCTGGAGAAACGATCACTGCCAACAAGTATTGTCAGCAATTGGTCGAATTGAAGAAAGCAATTGATGAAAA